GACCGAAAGGCATTCGCAAGAATTCATATAGTCCGAAGGGAGTTATGATAGCTGTTTTCGGTATGTCGTCAGTAGCCATAGGGATTTGGTTATACGCTTTAACCAAGTCGATTTTCGAAAAGACAGTTGTACCTTTCAAGGTAGCTGTCAAATCGTGAATGTGAGGCAACGGGTAACGATCGGGAATGGTTTTCGCGTTCAATCGCCTATAGTCACCAGTTGGACGCCAATCGTTGCTGTCCTTTTTAGGGACCATGTGCAACGGAGATGCATATGGGCTACTTGACGGTCGTATGATTCCTAAGTCTATCATATGATCGAACTCGTTTTTCGCTAACCTTAGCTTTTCAGGAGCTATTCGTCGTGCTCTAGAGAATACAGAAGGCGTAGGTTGGACGTAACCAAATAGATCCATAAAATCCCCGAGAAGCCAAATACCAGAAAGCAATTAATGGACTAAGTCGATGTTTATTTGCTGGCGATCTCGTGGCATCGAAAGGATACCGAGATCGTGCCAGGATACAACCTTGGTTACAGAAGGTAACCGAATTCGCGCGAAGTTACAATCGAAGTGTAAGTAAAAGAATGGAAGCACAAAATAGCTGTCATTAGCACAGTCAAACAAAAGCACGTTAAAACAAACACTGGTACAGTTGGTTATAATAATAATTGTTTTTATTAAACCAGTCGTGTTCTCGTGATAAACGTGAGTCACTACAACTCCTTCAAATCTGATAAAACTTTGAATTTAAAACAGTTTTAAAACGCTCAAACGGTATTTTACAAATTCGAAGAAGTAAGCGACCCTTTATTAAAGGACTTTGTGTTGTCTCCAAATTTTCAGACTTCGGAGCGACTAAGAGACAAACATTCAATAGATTAACAATCCGAAACTAAGTAATACCAAAACCAAAAAATTCCTCAATCAAATAGGAATTTTGTGAATATAGATTAAAGTCTACTAAATTATTGTTCTTTGCAACAATTACAGAGATAAATTAGTGATAAACCTTCAGCATTTAAGCCTCCTTGTGTCTATGACCAAAGGGACAAACGCAAGGGCAAGAATGGAACCAAAAATCAAAAGTCAGAAAGAAAAACAAACCAAGTTTAAGGATTGATTATGTCGAGATTTAGCTAAAAGGAGCAGATTTTACAATAACACATTTACATAAGCTGTACATTCGTATATAGTGATATGGAAAATATATGTCTATAGGAGGATAGAAAACATTGCATCACAAAAATGGATTCGAGACTCTTATCATTAAATGAGGTTACGTACTAATCAAGGGGTAAGGAAGAAAATCGTTTATGGGTCAGATATCAAGAAAAACGACAAGCACAGAGGTCATAATAATAAAAACTGAATAATAATCAAGCAAACTTGTATAAGATAATAATGATAATAATAATAATAATAATAATAATAATAATAATAATAATAATAATAATAATAAAAATAGATTGGAGTTTAAAATTGCAAAACAATAATTTAAAAAATCAATAATAATCAAGTAAAAGTGAAGAAAGAAAGAAAACTCAAAACTACCAACAAAGGGAATTAGGGTCAAGGAAGGATGAGAGGTTGGACGAATCGTTTCTGCACACAAAGTTCGGACTTGAGTTCGTGGATTGTTAATGCCTCAGCAGTGCAGAAAATAATGATTCAACATTCCTTTGATCCAATTCCTTTGACTCTGTAGATCACTTTAAAAAAGAAATCCTTTGGAGCGATGTGTCCACAGTTGATTAAATGCTCCTATATAGAACTAGTAATTGTTTTACATTCTCCTTTTAAAAGCCACGCCGATAGTGTTCTGAGATGCGTTTGGAAAGTGTGCCGCCTATGTAACGTGCCCCACGCGAGTAAGTACATTCCTAGATACACACTGATGTAGCCCAAAGCGGAAGTTTATCCTTAACACATTTGTAGTCTGATTGGGATTACCAATTGTAGCGTGGCGTCGAGTTGAGGTTAACTATGAACACCGCTACAAAGAAACACGTGCCAAATGAATCAGAAGGCGTAGGTTGGACGTAACCAAATAGATCCATAAAATCCCCGAGAAGCCAAATACCAGAAAGCAATTAATGGACTAAGTCGATGTTTATTTGCTGGCGATCTCGTGGCATCGAAAGGATACCGAGATCGTGCCAGGATACAACCTTGGTTACAGAAGGTAACCGAATTCGCGCGAAGTTACAATCGAAGTGTAAGTAAAAGAATGGAAGCACAAAATAGCTGTCATTAGCACAGTCAAACAAAAGCACGTTAAAACAAACACTGGTACAGTTGGTTATAATAATAATTGTTTTTATTAAACCAGTCGTGTTCTCGTGATAAACATGAGTCAGTACACATTCATGAATGTTAGGCCGGTTTCAGAAAACAGTTTGGAGTTTAGCTGCGTATAACGTCTTGTCCAACGATTTTGAAACTCGTTTATTTAAGATTTCAGCAGCCGTGTCTCATTTAAATTCCATATCCATAAATAGGGTTTTCTTTTGTCCTGCCGAATCAATTTATGACTCAATCTTTTCTATCCTCCTGTAGACATACATTTTCTATATAACTATATATACGAATGTACAGCTTAAGTAAATGATTTCGTCGAAAAGAAAATTTCCTTCGCTGAATTCTTTTCTTCTTATTCAATGACACTATAGGTTATTTTACTTACCTTGTGATAAGTTTAAGATTTTATGCTTCACTTGTAACATCATGTGTTTACTACTTTTACAAAAGGCAATATACAACATTTTCTGAAATGAAAGCTGAGAAACGTTGGTTTAACAATTGAAATCTTTAAGTTCAGATATGAATATCAGACTCCAATCTCAATGACTTTCGAAAATCAATTGAGTCTGTTAGTTGGGATGAGACATGCTTTGAAGAACCGTACAGTACTTCTTCATAAAAACCGATGAGTTTTAAAAGTTTTCTGTTTTTGTCGTAACAGAAGAAACTTTTACCGTGTTTTCACAGTTTAACTAAATAAACAGTAATCAGATATCATTTTTAAAAAAGGGCAAACTGTTAATTTTGGTTCTGATTAGATATTAAGAAATTGAAATTCTAAATTAGTTTGTAGTGGTTTGGCTTATCTCAATGTTGATATTTTAACTGAATTTCGATAACCCAAATCATTACAAATTAAATTAAAATCCATACCTGTTGCAAAAGTGAATGGCTACTTGATCTCAGCAGCTCAGTGATTGAATAGCGCTTTGATTAGTCGAAACAAAAGATGGTGAGTCTGAATCACGGAGTGACCATTAACACTAGGATTCAAGTACATCCACTCATTGAGTTCTGAAGGAGACGAAACGTAATGCTTGTATTCTATTCTCGTTCGAATATAACCTAATGTGGAAGCCACTTCTTTGGTTATTTATTCTCTGAAGAAGTGACTTAAACTGAATCACGAAACGTCAGAAAATCTAATTTTTCTACTCATTGAGATATTACAAATATATCATTTTGTTTACGACAATCTACCCAACGCTCAATTTATTCGAAATTATCAAGTCAAACCTATGTAATGATGCCTACTACGCTTAAATTCTCTAAAAGGCTTAAATCAATTGTTTTTAAATACGATATGGGTGAAACAACTAAACTCATGTATATTGATCAAGAATGAGTAAAGAGATGATTCACGAATATTTCATTCAGAATAAGCTTTTGATGTTCTTTCTAAATCATCATATTCTTGAAACCCATAACTATTGTTGTGATACTCAACTTATAAACACAAACCTATGATCTATAACTCTAGAAAACTGATCTTAGATAATGACCCTAAACTGTAAATCCTAAATCCTGACACACCTAATCTCTTGTCTTAACTTCTAATTACTAAAGTGAATGCGAAAGCTAGTTAACATATACAGCGAGACTACAAATGTATTGCCACAGTTCAATGATCCCTACTTAATAAAGGAACTCTTGACGCATATAGACATATTAATCATTTGTTTAATCTTCCCTATATCACCAATTCTTCTGAACATTTTTTAAATTTTGTCTCCTGTTTAATCTGTTTAATCTTTCTTACCAATTTCTGAAGAAGACATTTAGGTAACTAGTTAAAATTCCTCACTGATCCCCGTAACATCCCTTTTCACATGCATCTTAACTCCGAACTCATTAAGTTACAAACAAAAGTACACGAGAAAAAGCGCAAAATCAAAAAAAAAGAATTAAGATAAAGTGATTTCTGTGGAATTTACTTTCAACAATAGCTTCTAAAAAAGTTCCTTACATTTTAATCAATATGTTAACTTTATAAGAAGAAAAATGCATTCCAAAGAAGAAAACAAAACGAAAAATTAAAACTAATACACAAATAGGGAGAAGTAAGTAAATAAAACAGAGAACACGAGGTTGCTCGCCTTTATACAAAAAAAGAAACAATATTTTATTTTTAAGTAATTAGTCAATATTACTAACGTTCTTATTTACAAGGATAAGTGACTAAAATCACTGTATCTACATATACTTCTAAAATATACTCATATGGACCTAGTTTAAATCAATCATTATGTATCTATTTTTGGATATATAAGCATCAAATATATCGTATTCAATAAACTGTTCAAAAATGACGAGAGAAAAATATACTGTGGTTAATACATATTAGCACATACTAAATCACTAAAAGGAGGTCATACACCTTTTAAACACAACATAATCACTAGAACACTCTGAAACAAAAAACAAAACCAAAGGATGAATAAAAGAAAGAATGGAAATCACATTTTCAACCTGAATAAAAGTTATACATTTCATTTCAGTGGATAATATTACAATGTACAAAAAAAACACAATGGAATGATTAGTTATCAGCAGTAGATTTGGTGAGCTGTTTTTCATAAATTACAGTGATAGTAGTAATATCAATATTTAGCTACACCAAGTCTGGTATACATAATATTACTTGGAGTTGTATGTAAACGAAAAGATCAAAAAGTGTGGAAATTTCATCAGAAATGAGTTAAACTATTGATATTTTTTGCATTTTCTCTCTTATAAGTAACCCACCGTCGGCTGTTGTTGATAAATTTCTTCCAGTTCCGACAATCAAACCACTTGTATTATTATTACTACCTCCGCAACTATGTACAGAATCCGATATTACTGTACCACCTCCATTTTTAACTAATGATCCTGAATGTGACGATGTCCGGTGTTGTGTCTTATTATTTAATCTAATCGTATGACAATAATCGTGTTGGTTATCGAGTGAAAAGTGTGAACTATGACAGTCATGAGATGCATTGATTAGTTGTGAGTGTGTACTGTGTTCAGTCATCTTTTTGTTGTAACTGTGGTGATGGTACCGATGAGAGTGAGCATGTGGCGGTAACTGATGTGAATGTAGTAAATGACGATGTTGATGATGGTGATAGTGTTGCTGGTGCTGATGCTTCTTTATTGGACCGATATCTGTAAAGACCATTTCTTTCTCGGTTGACAAATCGCATAACAACCCTGTACTCTGTGAATTATGACACTTATGTAACTGTTTTTTATTTGGACAGTGGGTGGTCAATCTGTGAGCTGACTGATTAAGTGATAGAGAAGGCTTTGAACCCGTTAATTCTGTTAGGGGATCCAATGGCATATGTTTTCGGCGTTTATATTCACGATAGTAAATGTAGCAAGCTATACCAAGAAGTAGAATTAGTGCTAGTAGAATACCCGTACCAATATGAACTAAGTTGTAACTCAGTCTCAATGAACCTATGAAAAAAGTACACAAAAATAAAACACTAAAGGTTATAACAGTGATTATGTTTGAAAATTTCATGACACTGCTCACAAAGGACAAAAATGTGGTCTCCGTTGAGGCTAAGATTAATGCTCTCAAACTCTGAGGGAATCATATAGGTCACTAAACTTTTGAACTTCAGCTCACCACTTGCGAATTTTGGTGTAAATAACATTCAGTTATTAGTTTACTTAGATACTTGGTTTTTAACATCTGTAAGACATCGTAATGTGAAATTGATATTTGTGAAAAAATGTTTCTTATGAATAAGCTGGATTTGTTTTACGGACATGAAAAATGATACAAACAAATTATATTTCGACTCCTCATATCCGTTTGTAAGATGATTTAGATGGTTTGACAAAAATAGAACCAGCGACAATATATTTACTTCCTGAACAAATAGTAAATAATCGAGAAGGAATATTATGAATGAAGGCAAAAGAAAGCATGTAATCACTGAAATGTCATATAGAACAAAAGGCGAAATAATCCCCCTTTTGTTGTGCATATCAGTTGATATCATCTTTATAAATACGTAAGAAAGATTTCAGAACATCATTTATTTATTAGTACCCTATCATAGTAACGAATTGAAAAGCACAAAGAGTTGCTCTCATAAAAATTAGGTTAGAAAGTAACAAATATAAAATCTTCATGAAAGGAAGGAATGAGTCTAGGCATTTGATTCACCTTTAGGGAAGATTGGAATTATTAGGCTCACTGTAGACTTAGTGAGGAAGTTTGGAGCGTGAAGTAATTCATTGGATAGTAATTTTAAAAATAATCGTTTTTTTCTCACTAAATGAAATACTTTAATCTCTAAACCTCTGAACTAAAACTAGAGTAAACTCATTAATCCTACTCTTCTATTCAACATATGCCAGTTGTAAAATTAGATCTTTTTCGAAAAGGAAATATAGATTGCTAAAGACATAAAATAAAACTGGGATTTACGCGGATGAGTGGTGAGATCTTGTTGATTTGTTTTTCATAATATATGTTTCAGATGCTTCATGACAATACCTGGTGAAAAATGCTTTTTCGGAACTCCCGAATTATCCATGAGGGTCTATGAATATATGTTCACACATTTGAAATAAGTCTTATTCATTTTACTGTCAACCCAATCTTTCAATCTAAAATGTATTTTCATAGCCAAGTTTATGTCAGAAATCAGGACATTTAAGTCTTACACATGTAAACAAAATGAATTAATCTTCTGGATCGGTGATTATTTCGTTAAATAACGTTCTATAGAGTACTTACAGCTTGCTTCATCTGATTCATCCTTTAACCATTTCCCATCCTTTTGATACATTCCACAATTCAGTACTTCATTACATTCTAGATCTGTATATAAACAATGACCTGTGCTCTCACAGAGGAAACCTTTACATCCAGCTGAAACAATAAATACATAGAAACATTTTTTACATGTACGGTTGTGAAAATGTAAAACTGATGTCCTGGAATCTAATCTGAGAAAAATGCACTCTGTTTGGAAATGCTGGAATACACTTTTTGGTAAATTCCGCGGCACTAATATATATATATATATTCGATTTTCTAAACTAACTAATAACATCTATTCAATTCACTATTATATCGTTTCTGACTAGGCTAGTTGCCATTCTCAAAAACAAAATGTTCAATTTTCAAAGAGATGAATTACCGATTATACTCGAATAGTTTTTGCTGTGCGTAAAATTGTATAAATTTGTGATCATTAAAAATAATAACTATTTCTGCAGAACATTGATTTTCACTTTCGTTCTCTGATAGATTAATTAAAAATACAAAAATAGTTATTCTTGGCTTGATAGCTCTTCCTATAAATCAATCTAAAACATATAGTATACTTACGGACAGCCAAAAGCACAGGGGATTTCAAAGGTTTGGTCTCTAATCTAGTTTACTTTAGGTTAATAGTGTTTAAATTTTTGATCTAATAATCATGATGATTCTTGATAAAGTTGGTAAGACATGTTGTACTTAATGGAAATGATAAGTGAAAGAACTTTCGAACCTAACATTTCATATACTTGATTATGTTTTTTACTCTTTATTATAAAGATATTTACGGTTTTATGTTGACAGCCAAAACAGAAAAGAATATGTGGTGGCAAACTTGTTTGATTCGTCAGATCAGGTGAAAATGTGAAGTTTTAAAGGAAATGCTGGGACTGTTAGACAAAACTTAAAAGATAACAATTAAAATGAGTCAAAACGAGTTTTTAACTGTATGGTATTACGGCTAGGAAGTTACGAGAAACTTAAATAGATGATAGTAAAAGTACTTGTAACACAATTAGGCTATTCGGTAGGCTGAATATACTAAGAAGGAGCACAATTATGGCGACTAACCTAGACGAAATTAGTAGTAATTGGGATGTGCTGGAAATATTGTCATACTAAATTTAATTCAAACTCAATTTTTGTAAGCGTATATAGATTTGATTAGCTTAGTTTTAATTTAATGCACTTAAATTAAAAAAAAACAGTTTGTAAACTCAGTATTAGAGTTCGTTGTTGGGTTTAAATTCACAGTCCCTATGTTAACAATTCTAGTAAATATTTTTAACATACTTTCAGGATCTATTGGTAGTAGATCAGTCCAAATTAACTCGAATCCTTTTGAACCAGATGCATCCGTTGCTGTGTGCATTCTGTTTAGAAGTTTTAAAAAGAAAGCATATTCCATAAAACCACTTGGTCAGCACTAAGTAATCTTTTTCAAACAGTATGGATATTTTTAATTCACCAATTGATAAAGTTAAGACAGTTGGAAGATATGAGCTTTTAAAATAAGATATCAACTAACAACACCGTTTCGTAATAAGTTGGGACATTGTAAAAGTATATAGTGGCGATTACACACCCATATTCTTTCTTGGAAATATTGAACTCGATAAGACAAACTACTAGCAAAACCATTTAGTAACAAAAGTTATTTTGATAATCATTTTATTTTCACAGATTGAAATCATGAGTCAGTTGAAGCTAGACCACCATGGAAAACCTGGAAGCACTGGACGGCCGTTTCGTCCTGGTATGGGACTCCTCAGCAGTGCGCATCCACGATCATTTTATTTTATGCAAAATAATGGTCACCTTCACATTTATTTAGGCGAAATGACAACAATTGATGTAGATATCATATCCTTAAAATCATAACATTTAACATGGAGTATTAAAGATGATTCGCAAATTAATTTTAAATATCTCAGTCATGATCTAAGACTAACTAGATTTTTTCCGATGAAAAAAGATTACTGAAAATTATGAGACAAGAGAAGTAGTTTATATATATATTCACTGATTTGGTCTGTGCATCCGATATCGTACAGGTGGAACAGGGAGCCCTAATCAACATGATCAGAAGCTTCCGGGTTCATTTATGGGTGAGTTTGAATATACTTACCAGTTAAAAGCTTCTAACTATGCATATATATATACTTCCAACTAGTGCGTCACTGGCTGAAAATTTTCATCATGGGATCGAGTAGAAACAAGAGGCTGCTGCGTAAACCTTTCGTACTAAACGATTAAAATGTCAGTTGAATTAAAAGTAATTGAATCTAAAGTATTTTAAATGGGATAATCAGTATATGCATGGACGAATATCTCCTTACTATCGTGTGGATATGCGCCTGCGTGGCTTAATGGATAAAGCGTCTGCCTCCTTAGTAGAAGATTGCGAGTTCGAGTCCTGCCGTGGGTGGGGTGTGAATCATATTGAATATAATCTGATGGATTTGTTTCTGTTTGTTTAAAAATAATTTTAATTCAAAAATACAGTCACTTGAAAAGAAACAGAGACAAAACTCCATCAAAAATGATTATTCAAACATAGTATTCAGTTACCACATCGGGTAACTTAAAAGTGATAAAAACTAAAAATCATCAACATTTGTTAAAGGATTTTTAAAGATTTTTATCTTTTCACAACCATGTTCATTAATTTTGAACAAATCTACTATTCTTTCTGGAAATAACCCGATATCACTTAAAATGTAAGCAGTTACGATCATGACCCCCCCAAAAAAACTAAAATTATTTGTGGCTCATACCATGCGTGATCTAATATAATATCCATATGTATTAGCATTTTTAGGACTAGATTTCCAGTAACTCATTAACCATCAACATCAATACGAAATTGAAAACGATGTTCAAAATAATTTTTCATCAATATTCGTATATATTTTATTTATTCAGAAATGATAGAATATGCTGTGAATGTGCTATGAAATAGAAATAGGCTGATTTGGATAGACCAGACTATTATAGATAGCTTTCAAAATGATCGGTGGTAAAGTTACTTAATCAGTTCCTCAAAAATATGATAAAGTGACAAAGCTCGTCAAATGAGTTCAACTCAAAGAAACCTAGAAACGACTAGACAGTATAAGATAGTTTACATAAACATTTTAGTGAAACAGGTAAACAATTCTGAGAACAACTTCCGATTAATGAAGCTGAAATCTAACGGTTATTTAATTTGACGGGACATTTCTATATACACTCTCTCTGAATACTGATCAGAATAACCGTTAAATATCATGACCCATCGAATTTCATCACAAAGCGTATTTCTATTACGGTAGATGGCAATTAAACCATTCATCTTATTTGTACAGTTAACCCATGTTGACTAAAAAATTTAAAATCTCAAGAAAAGCAATCGGTCGGATAAATTGCTCAAATTAAAAAAAGTTATAAAATGTCAATTGACATTTTGCTGATTATCCGTGAAATTTACCACTTTGGAGGGTTAAAACGTATAGAAAGCGATCAATTGTTGTAATAGGATAGCAACACCGGTTTCTCGCTCTCTCATGTGGAAGTGAAATACGAAACTTGAAGAGTTAAATGATATTCAGACCTAGAATAATCTTTGATTCGGCGCACTCAGTCAATAGGACATTAGTAATTCTAAGAGATTAAAAACCGTCCATAATACAGTTTCACATTCCTTCCCATTACTTTGTCAGAAATCAATCAAGGATGCTTCAAGTAGCTTAATTAATACCAGAATACATTGAAAGTATGTTCTAACAACTCACCTAACTTTGGATCTTAGTACAAGTTATTAAACAAGATTCTAGGACTCCTCATAAATATGCTATACAAACTATGATAGAGAGTGTAGAGCAGATTGGAATTTAAAATTTACTTTAAAATAAAGTATTTTTTAAACCTACTTTACTCGTGCTACAGAATTTGGTATAACGATAGGCAGGAGTTCATTAGGATTTCCACAAAGTTCATATGAACTTCTTGGGTTACGATCTTCATATATCCGAAGAACTGCTCTTGAACAATCTATTATGGCAGAGGAAAACATGATAAAAAGGTAAAACATAAATTTTTAGTGTACAAGATAATATCTGCATACATAGTGTTTAAGCTTCGGTTATAGAAGAATTCATTTTAAGTTTAAGCAAATGCAAGCGACAAATGATTTCGCAATTCCAATGAATATTTAATTTCTATTTGCAAAATCTTGTTCATTCCGGTAAATAATCTAATGCTTTATCTAGTACACCGCGTCTGATATATACATTTAGTATGTCACTGGAATATAAAAATAACAGAGGATATCTGTTTGTCTGAAAACTAATCAAAGCTTCAACAGAATAGAATGTATATAAAGCAAACATGAACAACATACAAAAGCAAATACATGGGAAGATCCAATCCACTATCCGAATTTCATTTTCACTTAGAAACTTACTCATTTTCGAACCTTCTAAATCCAATGAATTGAAATATAATTGAATGCGACTTTTCTCTGTAGTTCCTTGAATATACCATTCATAATTGAAGTCCTTGACATATAAATTGGGAAAATTTGGTGAAGTAATTAAACCACTGCTAGTACTTTTGACTGGATGCTTGTCGTCAGCACTATCACCATTTTTGTTCCCTGAAAATATTTTCACAAATTAAAACTACGTTATCTAACCATATGATTGAGTTATATATATACATTCAATGCTAATTTATTGATACCACTTGTTAGAAAATATTTAAACATGAACTGTATCAGAAATCCAATGAATCACATAGTAATTTAGTTAAACGTATTTAGGTGTGGTGACTTTTCATCTATAATGCGATTGTTTTTATTTAGAGCGGAGGGATTATGGCCTCCTATCATGAGATCACATACAGTCTCTGGAAATTTCCATTATCCAGATTGATAGTAATAGTTAAACTACGTCATATGTCTTTCAATGTTGAAGTATAGAGTGTTTTTAAATGATCGGGAGGGTTTTTTTAGCTCTAATCATCGACAAATGTTGATAAATTTAGCGTATATCAGTAGTTGTGTTCGAAAGGACCAAACCATAGACAAAATGTCATATTACAATATAAATCGGCTGCGGCACCGCCATGACATTACTCTATAAAAAAGTCCTGATCCATTGAAGCTTAAATATATAAGTGGATAAATCATATTGATTATATAGTGAAAACGTAAGTTGCAAAACTATTTATCTGACTGGAGGACCAGGTGAGAGGATCAAGATGTGTTAGTTTATAGTGAAGCATAAGGTTGGTTTTGAATTTACAGGTGTACCACACCTCGCAAGATGAAATCATTTAAATTGCATTGCCTAGTTGGTTGAAAAGTTTTAAAGAGAGTCTCGAAATCGCGTTCGTTTTCCATCACTCCTTAATTTAGCCAATTATGACCTTAAGCAGTTTAAAATAAGTTCAACGTTTCATTAGTTAATACTTAAAACCTTTATTAGAAATTTGTAAAGCAAATGAATAATATTAATGTAATATATGGTAACATACCCGGTCTACCAACAACTTTTGATTTTATTGGATCAAGACGTATTTTTGGGAGAAATTCATAACTTAATGTGAAGCCCTTTGAAGTTGTATTTTGTCCACTATGAAATCTCATTAAAATGGCTGTGGCAGTTGGATCTGAGACTATTGGACCCGGTATATATTTCCCGCAGTATATACTTATAGGTTCAAGTATATGTTGATTTGTACCTAAATAAATTTGTAATTCTTTCTCTAAATTATGCCAACGTTGTATCCAGACATCATATGATACTTCAAGTAACAGTGGATAATTGACACGTGAAGTTAATGCACTCATTACTTCTTCTTTTAAAGGAATGTATAACTGGATGATTTCAAGGAAATCCTAAAATAATTCAAAGCATAAAATGTGACTAGCAAGTGAATATGCCAGTGTAGAGTGTTAATAACGATTATATACTTAAGTAAGCAGTCTATGAAAATTAGTCTCCACCACGAAACGTTTCACCTACATTTATGGTTAACATTGGTATGGTGACATTCGGGTATCAGATGGTAGGTGGTAGTTATATGAAACATTCCAAGTTGAAGCTGAAAACACGACAGTATAAGTCTTATAGTAGATGCGCTAAATGGGAGTCGTCTGACTTTTGTTTGTAGTGTTAAAGTAATAAGGTATCCAAATTGACGAACTTGTAAGAATCCATCAACTTTAATTGGTAAAACTCAAGATAAGTGAGGAAAGGATCAAGGTCGATTAGACTAAGATCAATATAGGAAGCTAACGACTGTTGATTTGAGTACTGTGGAAAAGTGTGGGAGATCTTAATAGTGTTCCCGATATATTTGAATTCATAAAAGCTAAACAACGATTGTTACAGTTTTTTCAATCAATAATTTCATTGAGCCATCTATTCAATGTAACTCTATTTCTTGAAGTTACGATGTAAACCAAAATCTTTAATGGAATGTCTCTAGCAGTGGCATTCAGGACGCGCACTTCGTTCTATTTGGGACTTATGAGCTCGAAGTACCTATATCCCAGAGTTGATGTTCTATTCAGGAATTGAATCCAGTACCGTTTTCTACAAAAACTATCACGTTATATCGAGGCAATCCACACAGGATGCCCTCATACCAACCAAAACTGATCAAATTTCAGTCAAAAATGTCAACAACAGAATGATCCAAACTATTTCAAATTCAATTAAAATCTTTAAGTAGAGTTCACAGTTTTTTGTAAATGGTTCAACATTCAACCTAAATTGTAACAAATTATAGGCAATGTGTTAGTATTTTAGAGAACTAAGTTTTTATGTTCACAGAAAGTAACTTTCACGGTGGTAAATTTCAGCTGATCATCACAAGTTTTAAATGCTCATTTTATACTCTTTGTCCAAGTCTACTCTAATAAAAGTTGTTGTTTTAATCAGCCATAAAACTAGAACTTTAAACATTGAGTTCTATACCTATATTAGTTTTGAATCAAATTAACTCATTACATCTGAAAATATATCGCATATAAGATTAATCTTCATCATCACTAAAAAATAAATAAATTTACGCAATCAGTAATTAAATCTAAATACTTTTTTACCAATCTTTTCTGGTCAAAAAGTTACCCTAATTATTAAAACTTCAGCCAAGAATAAAATTGTTTTTGTATAACTAACATCTTTATAAAACACTATTTTAAGTATATTTAAAAAAATATAGAAGACTAATCTGTTTGATAGACATTTTGACAGATAATGTTGAAATGTTAATGAATGTTAGGAAAGTAAATAATGGTTGTGTTTATGAAACAGGAATATTCGTGTATGTTAGCTTTTTTGTTATCATATAAACTAATATATTCACTGGTGTTTGTGTGTAGGTTTTAAGATTCATTCAGTTGATAAAAATACTAATCGTAAATGAAAAAAAAAACAACAACAACAATAGATTCTTTTTCAAATCCATATAGATTAAACTGAACAGAATAAAATTAACATCCATATAGTCCATTTTATTTTTAAGTTTAGCGAAACTATTTCAAGAGTAATTCTAAGCTTAAAGCGGATTATTTATTCTGTTTTACAGTAATATAAGAAAATAAAGCTTGGATGCATAGATGATGATGGATAGTTTAAAGTAATCAATAAAAGGTCACTTAACGTAAGTTTTTTGAAAGATGAGAATTATCAACAAAGTACAACAAATTAAGCCATAATTAGAATTAAAATCGAAGTTTCCCAGAACAAGTATAGTTCACATGTTCTGATGGTTGTATTAGGTATTGAGTAAAAATGGATCTACGGTGAAATTATTTGGAGTTCCTGACTTTATATCACTTGAACAATATAAAGTGATAGTCTAATACCAGTGAATATGACATTGATCCAGTTACCCTGAGATACCACGGTCATTAGGGGTATAAATAAGAATGTAGTATTTCGAACAACTCCATCTGTCCCAAGGACGGGTAAATGAGGAGAGTTGAGCATGGGGTCAGCATCCCAATCCCGTAGAAAACAACCTTGCTAAATAAAAACGCTAACCAGAATAAACAATTTAAACTGTACCCTGGGAGTTGAATGGTCTTGTCTCAGATGAATTATAACATCTCATGGTGATAGGCCAGATTCTTCTCAAGTCATGGGGATGATGCGCCTTCTAACAATCAGAGCAACAATTATTATAGGTACATGGAATGTTCGGACAATGTGGGAGAACTGGAGGACCAACCAAATAGCTACGAAAATGAGGAGACCCAATTTGGTGGTGCTCGGAATCAGTGAAACTCATCGGACCTAAGATGGACAGAAAAGGATAGATTCCGGAGAGATACTGCTGTACTCTGGTCACGAGGAAGAAAATGCTCCACACACTCAGGGAGTTGCTTTGATGCTATATAAAGAAACACGTAAAGCACATGTAGGATGGGAATCTTATGGACCCATGATCACCAAAGCATCCCGCAAATAAGGAAGGAAGGAATCACAATGAATTTTACTCAATTTATACAACCACCAATGATAGCAACGATGACGATAAAGACCAGTTCTATGAGAGGCTGCAATCAATCATAGCGAAGTGCCCAAGAAAGGATCTCACCATTCTGATGGGAGACATAAACGTCAAAGTTGGAATGAACAATATCGGATATGAAGATGTAATCGGACGACATGGAGTGACTGGGAGAAAGGAACGAGAATGGTGAGAGATTTGCAAATCTATGTGCATTCAACAAAATGGTAATAGGTTGCACAATATTCCTACACAAACACATACGCAAAGCTTCGTGTGTCTCACCGAACCATATCACACTACAGAGAATCAGACCGATCACATTTGGACCATTGAAAAATTCAGAAGATCTATGGAAGACATCAGAACCATGAGAAGAGCTGACGTAGCCTCCGATCATTACCAACTGGTGGTTGCCAAGATGAAACTGAAGCTAAGGAAGCACTGGACGACTGGAGAGACAGCATTTAAAAGATTTAATACAGCATTCTCTCGAGATGCTGACAAACTCAACGGATTTAAGAAAGCTCTAAACAACAACAGTTTCCAAGCCTTACAAGATCTACTCCAAGAAGATGAAACTAGTATGGAGGGCAACTTGAGATGGATTAAAGAAACACTAACTCCAACGTGTTAGGAGGTGCTAGGCCACAAGAAGCATCATCATAAGAAATGGATCTCCATGGGAACCCTGGACAATATTGAAGAAAGAAAGAACACGAAGGCAGCAATTAACAACAGCCGAACAAGAACAGAGAAAGTCAAGGTACAAGCTGAATATACAGAAACAAACAAGCAAGCGATGAGGATCATTAGAGCTGACAAGTAGAAATACGTGGAAGACCTAGCATGAACAGTAGAAAAAGCTGAAAGCGAAGGAAATATCAGACCAATATATGACACAACGAAGAAACTGGTAAGGAAATACAGCAAACCAGATAGACCGGTCAATGACAAAGAATGAAAGCCAATCACTGAGGTTCAAGAATAGAGGAACGGATGAGTAGAACACTTTGAGGAACTCTTAAATAGGCTAGCGCCACTGAATTCACAAAACATCAAAGCAGCACACAGTCATTCCTATAGATCTCACTCCACCAACGATCGAAGAAATCAGGATGACCATCAGACAAATCAAGAAAGAGAAAGCATCAGAACCGGGAAACATACCAGCTGAAGCAATGAAGTCGGACGTAGAAGTAAATGCAAGTATGCTCCGCATTCTATTCAGGAAGATTTGGGAGGCGGAACAAGTATTAGTAGACTGGAAGGAAGGACATCTCATCATGATACTAAAGAAAGGAGATGTGAACAAATATGAGGACTACGAAGGCATCACGCTACTGTCATTACAAGGAAAGGTTTTCAACAGATTCAACAGGTTCAGTAGATGCTCAACTTCGAGATCAACAGGCTGGTTTTCGTAAGGATCAGTCGTGCACAGACCAAATCGCGACACTAAGGATCATCGTTGAGCAATCAGTTGAATGAAGCTCCCCACTACACATCAACTTCCTTGATTCTAAGAAGGGTCACATTTCTACGGTTAAGGAACATATGGAATTCAAAACAACTGTCAACCAACATCAAAGTCAGAATTTCCATTACGAACGTCAAGACAGTTCTATTGGACGGAGCTGAAACTTGGAGAACTCCCACAACCATCATCAAAAATGTACAAAGATTTATAAACAAATGTTCACGTAAGATACTGAATGTCCGTTGACCGAATACTATCAGCAACAGCGTACTATGGGAGGGGATAAACCATATTCCAGCTGAGGAGGAAATCAGGAAAAGACGTTGGAGCTGGATAGGATGTATATTATGGAAAATACTGGTGGACGGTCTATTCTCCTTCACGTGGAGTTACAGGAGTAAGGAAGTAATTTTGATTACTTTCATAAAGCTGTTGGTGTCTATTTATCTCATCAGAAGAAATAAATATAAGTAAATCATTAATACGGTTCATTTAAAAATAAGTAATTATAGTTGGAGTTTCCCTGAAATATGACCAACAACTAGTTTCATTTACTGGCCAAAAGAATATATATATATATATATATATATATATATATATATATATATATATATATATATATATATATATATAATGTATTTTGATGATCGATACAATTGATAGATATCAGTCTTATCCCTGTATCACAATTAAAAGGCTCTATCAATAGGACTATATTATTCCACTCATAGCATATTAAAAAGCCCCGACCAAATTACAAAAGTAATAACTGTTAGCAGAGAATATTCACAGGTGATTGCAGAAAGATGAAGATATATATAAAGTTTGGGGAATTTTTAAAGACTACTGTCGCTAAAAAATCTCCATATCTGATGGTAATGCATTTGCATTACCTAGAGTAATAACATTTATATATTACAGCTCTGACTACTCAATCATTTGACTGTAATAAATTCGTAACATTGTTAGTAGTTGAGCTTTGAGATCTTATGGTGAAAATCAACTCAGTAAGTCTATATTCGATCAAAATTGTTTACCAGAATCAAATATTACATTTGAGTGGTGGAAGTTTATCAAATACTGATTGTTTTGTGCAGCTAGTAATCCAAGAACATCACATCGTAACTGCATTAGGTTGGTTTCAGAGTCTAATTTGATTTATTTATTTAAACTAGGGCTTGAAGTAAGCTTTGTAAATATCACTGCAATATCAATACAAAAGGACAGTTACTCTATTTTTCCCTACTAAATCTTGGTTATCACTTTTATGTTTGTAATTTAAAGTTTTGTTATTTGAAGATCATATCTACAACACAACCGTATTATTCAGATGGGTAATAATAAAACATCGAAATATCATGAAACGAGATATTCATCAGTCCATTGATGCTTCTGTACGATTTGCTTTAGTTCCATCGGGACTACGAAATATATTTTTAGCTATGATGAGAGTGATAGGATATTTTAAAGTGCTAGATGGAGGTTTTACATCATTAGGTACTATGGAGTAGTGACGGTAGTCATATTCATGTAAGACGAAATTGTGGGTCACCAGGTCACATTAAGAGCACTTTGTTATTCAGTGTGGTAGACAGTTTAGTAATACCACCAAAAAGCTGACTATTGTTCTTTGAACTTAAATATTTCTTCTGTTTACATAAATATGTGGGGAAAACTATGCCGGACACAATCGATTCTTGACAATTATCTTAAGAGAACAAGCAAAACACAATTATGACAATTCCGTCCGTTCTGAAACAGACATATCTGATCAACATGACATGGGTGTAGTATCGTGGTTATATTTTTGAATAGATCGTATAAGATCTAATCATTACCCAGTATTTTTAATCTTGATCAGTTCTGATTTCTGTGAGACTAAATTTCTTCCGAATACCAGAGGCGCTATACAGAAATGACAGTGTATTTAAGCAAAGTACTTCACTGTACTTCATATTGCAAAGTAAGCAATATTACCACCATTTTTCAATCTACTAATAGACATAAAGCAATTTTACACGGATTAATGACAACGCGAAGCTGTCAAATGGTGAATGATGTGAGCGTCTATTTCCTAGACAGAATGAAAGTTTTCATGTTTTTTGGTCGTAGTTCTAATAGTTTAACAAAAACCTAATAACGATCTATAACTTTTCCGTAAACCATCTTAACATTGAATTTTTTTACGCGAAATTTCGTATTCTACTTCAAACAAGGTAAGTTAGTTAACTGGAGATTCCTCACCTGATAACAAATTTGAAATTTTTCCAGTTCTGATTGGTTTTCAATTGATACTTTCAACTGGGTTCGATATGTAGTTGCAAATGTTTCAAAGACTAGACGTATGGATTGTTCTACAGCAAATTCATTTTGTGGTGTAATTATATACAAACAATCTGAATTAGGTGGGTAATTATTTGGGTAGAGAGGTGAGTTGGTCCATCCTTTGAAATTTACTGTATTTGTTTTTGAGGTAGATGAGGATGACGGTTCGGAAGAAGATGATGACAATGAAGAAACAGAGGTTGTCGACTGCGATGGATTTACATACATAAACTGACAACTTTCAGGATTAATCATTATACCGGGAATACCAAAGTCTACAAATCAATAAGAACAGTTGATAAACCGTTTTATAGCCATAGGAGGAAAAAACCAAGTGTGTTTCACACAGAAAATGTTCAACTAGTCGAGTCCTCTAGCTGAAGATTTTAAACTATTTACTCATTGTTACAAAATTAGTTAGCGTCAACACTTCAAAATTATATAATTGACATCTAATCTTAGCTGCATAGTTTTATGACCTAGTTAGTATATAACCAGTTAAATGTAAAGACGTCCTCTGACTTTTGATTCATATTATGTTTTATATTAAAGCAATTATCGTTTTCAGTCTTAGTGACTAAAATGTCTATTGTCATTAGAACTTCAGTGACCTAAGTTACAAATATTTACAGTCATATAAATGAAATCCTCTTTAAATAGTTAAAAAATTTTAATGATAACGAGCTAAGTAGACTCGGTCGCATTAGATAACAGTTGGTAGTACGATAAGTTCATTTGAGAAAATTGTCAGTAAAATGTCTTAACATTTCATCAAATATAGTGTGATCACTATGACCTGAGTTATGTATGACTCCAGTCGTCCCAGTGTATAATATCATAGTGAAATCAATCACAAGGCACATTTGCATAGTGTTTCTCAAAATTTTCTCTCTACTCAAGTTATAGATAAGTTTCCACTACTATAATCAAATTCGATCAAATCAATCTAATCAATTTCTTTCTTATTAGAGGTCTTTCCATAATTTGTTTTCTCACAACTGAGGCTTTTCGCTACCTCTCATAGAGTGTACGGAGTTACCAAAAAGCATCACTAAGTCTAGCATTTCTGTTAGTCTATGTCAGATGCAACATTTTTTCTCAGTACTTATGGACATAATTATTGGATTTCATGAAAAGGTTATACCAAACCAGTAGCGTATAGTAATCATAATAATCCAAATCGAATCCTGTTTACAAGCAAATCACACCCCTACCATAGTCTTATCTATAATCTTATTGATAATTTCCAGAAACTACCGTTTTAAAGAAACCAAATGTTCAAAAATGTGATGAAATTGAACTTTCGTTTGTCAATGTTTTCAAAGTACTACCGGTTTCTATTCTATCTGCCTGTCAACCGTTGTGTTAACGTGAGGCACGCAACTGTATGTGCTTCATCTGACCAAATTCTCACTAAAATAGATTCAGTAAGATTGAAATCTAAATAAATTAGGGTGGATGAACTCAAGGTTAAATTCATGGTCAAATCTCACATCTTAGCACTAGAGTGCTATTAGGGAAAAACCTCGGATATATTCTGAGTCCATGGGAGATTTTCCTTTACCTCTAAATATGAATTTCTGGATACCTAGTCTCAGCTAAAATATGTATGGTCAAGAAATATTCTATCACTCAGACAAATTGAGTAGGTTATTTATAAACTAGTTCATTTTCTAATTCCCATAACATCTACATTAGTTGACAATGGAATAGAAGTCAAACAATAACATCCATTCTGTGTAGTCATTACTACTAAATAAATGCATCGACACGATAACTCGATTTGTCGCATTCATTCTATATTGATTATCCTGTAGGCCATAGTAACAAACGTTTGTTTCATGGTGGAATTTAATCGTATCGTGATCATTAACGGAGAAAATAAGTTAAATCGGTCAAATATTCCGATTAGCGTGGGAAGTAGAAAACTACGTTCATTGGTAGCAAAGCACATAATTGAAACGGGGTATAGAATTGACACCAATACAACTTTTAAAACCTTGTATGGGAATTGCCAAGGACGAATTCTTAGGTTTAGAGAAGCCTTGACTAGTCTCAAATTCACAGACCACTTGTGTTTACAGAAACAATTTCTCATAACCTTGAATTTACCCTGGTAATCCTAAGGTAATTTTACGGTCTAAGGTAGTGCGACAATTTTCTCTTGTTTCCATACAATATTGATTTTCTTTCTCAACCATTTACAAGTATTAATTCTTCAAAAGTAATTATCTAAATTTACGGTTACTTTATTCCAAGAAAAAATATTTTTTTACAGTTTGTAGTAACAAGAGTGGGTTTGGATAACTATCAGTAAGCCTAAAATCAGAAAATCATTTCATAAAGCAATAAAAATAAAGGAATGTACATTGAATAAAACTAAACGTGAATGTCAGAGACATTGGATCTTCATTTATATTCTTATATTAAATTAACTTGTATAGAACTATTGTATTCCTTGATTATAAAAATTAAGAGTTCACGAAAGAGTTAACAAACCTGATTCAAGCATTTTAATTTGAGTTACAGTTATTATTGGTAATTTCAAAATATTGACGGTCGACTTGATGAGTTGATCTAAAATAGAACACCATTGAAAACCTGGAAGCAGTGAACGGCCATTTCGTTCTAGTATGGAACTTCTCAGCAGTGCGTGTTCATGATCCCGTACACCAAATTCGGACTCAAAACCTTCTGTTCGCACACGAACGTTTAACTTCTAGACCACTGAGCCGGCATCCAACAGTGTTAATGTCTAACTTCAACTAATCTATGAATGACTAAGCAACCATTCTTCCATTGTTTGAGGTAGATACCTGTCTCCACCCGACACAGACTGAACTCCACTGGTCATGGTTTCTCACTAGAACTCCGAGAAGTCCCTTCACGAAGCTAGTAATTAGTGAGCACATGGTAATTATCAGTATGGGGTTGTGGAGATTGTTAAGTTTTTGACTGAGATCCCGCGTGCGGGACCGTGGATGAACACTGCCGAGGAGTCCCATACTAGGACGAAATGGCCACCCAGTGTTCCCACATTTTCAATGGTGGTCTAGCTTACATCGATTCATCAATTCAACTATTAAAATTACTACAGTCTCCACAAACCCCATTCTGATAATAATTATTACTTTGTTTGGTTGAACATTCATTTATTGACCTTTATTAATTTTCAGATAAAATGCCTTGACAAGTGTCTGTGTTTAGATTGTTCTAAATGTCTAGCGTAAATACATCACATCTTTTAGATCAACTCCGTTTTCGTGTTGATCTATAAAAATTTAGGAAAGGGATTGATTACTTTGACATAAGAATCCTGAAAGATATAGATATCCGATTGGTTTATTTCTTTATTTTGCATATTATGATGTTAAGGTTTTTTTATTAGTTTATCAAGCCACTAACTTTATTTGTATTCGTCTGTATGGATTGGTGAAAAGCAACCGAATCTTAATGATTCGTACACATAAAGATAAATTTCATTTATTTTTTGTCAGCATAAGTAAACTAAATCGTCAGGCTATATGAACTTAATGTAGAGATAATCATAGTCATAAACTATAGATTCAGCCAGTAGGTCCTGGGTTCGAGCCCCACGTGGTGCGGGATCGTGGATGCGCACTGCTGAGGAGTCCCATACCAGGACGAAACGGCCGTCCAGTGCTTCTAGGTTTTCAATGGTGGTCTAGCTTCAACTGACTCATGATTTCAACCTGTGAAAATTTCTAAAAACTCTCCACAAAACCCATTCTGATTAATAAATAATTTTATTTTCAGATTTTGTAATTAACGGAATCTTTCCATTTCCATTCTCTTTCGATGAAATACATTGGGGTAAGCTAGAAGTTGACAATGTCCTTGTATAACTTTCCCACGTAGAATATAGTCTTGAATAGAAGTTATGGGTGATTAAGTGATGAATCTGTGAGGAGAAATGTTAAAGCTTTAAGGTACATAAACAGTAACCTGATTTTACACAGTGTAAAACAAGATATCAGTATTTCACGGATAAAACAATTTCTGTTAAGACGAAGCATCAAAATATATTCCAGCTTTGACATTACAGTGTTCATAATCAAGGTACTCCTTGAAACGTCTTAGATTCCTTTGTCGAAACGAGTTACCTATGAACAGTGGACTGTTATCTATAATTTACTGTTCATCTATATGTGATTTTTTGATACTTTGTTCAAATTGCAGGCATCAAAAGTCTTAGACTGGTTCTAAATTCAAATGGATATTCTGATTTTTGATTCTAAGTAAATTTGTGGTGTATTCAGAGGAATTCCGTCAGATTTTTAATAGCTCTAAACCGAATAAAGAGGCCACAAAGTTCTTTGAAGTTTAAATGTCAACACATATATCTATGTCTAACATACGAATAAATTTTAATCTAAAAGATGCGTGGGAATTATCGTAATGACAAGACTTTGATGACAACACTTACAGGTGATGTATGCATTGCTCCCTCATACTTTTTTATTGTACCAATATACAACAAAAAAGTTATTTGTCCACTAGATAGCTTATTCTTTGCAACACGCACAAGGGTTCGACTCAGTCTGTTTTAAAAACCAAATAGGGATGTATTTTCTAAAGTATTTTGTAATATATGAATCGACTTCAATACACTTTTCATACTCAGATTAGATGGACTAAAAGACCTTGAACAACTCTTAAGTAATTCTAATCATACATCCAATTATATTATTATAGATTATTTGTCGAATGAAGGTTTATTTACTCTTCTTTGCATCAAACTTTATATAAAGGTTTAGATTATTACCTGAATACTTAAACAGAAGTGGAGTGGGATCTGATAATTGTGAGTAATGTGGTGTAAGCTCAAACACATTTCTTATCACGAAAGAACATTAGCTTGAAAACTATCGAAAACCGTATAGCACTGTACTTTGTTCTATTTTTGTTTAGGACTGTTTTGTCCAAGATTCCTACTAATCATTGCACAGTTATTGCATCTGTCGAGTTCTTTTCTTGTCTAAAAATCTTAAGATAGTTTGATATACAACAATCATTAGAGGAATATATGAGTTATGAAGTTTTATCAACGGCTTCATATTCATACTTCTTCAAGCGTGATCTAAGAAACTAAGGCCCTGTCTAAAGCTAACTCGTCTTAGCTTTGATAGGTAACGGAATTTAAACAACAACGACCAACAAATGAATTTGATGATATTCAAAATGTTTATTGTGAATAAAAATATTAAAAAACTCTACTCAATACCATGTATTTATCTAGAAAATAAAGAGTAGATCATACTGGGTTGATTTAATCCGCTATTCAATGAAATGGTTAATATTTTGTAGTTATAGTCGTCAACGGCTTGAAGATTACCATTCAACTTATTCAACTGGTTATTAGAAGACAAGTCGTGACTAACTTGAAGCTAACTGATTTGAAATAGTCTGTTTAAACATTTGGCAATTGAAATAGAAGTCATAACAACCGTTCAAATATTGCTTACCATTCACTTAATAGTCAACTCCATAGCTAGTTACATATTACTAACACGTAGGAATAAGAACCTGTACAGATTTCTTTTTCAACGCAATAAAGAAAATACTTCATTATTCATTTGATAACCAGCCTAATGACTAGTGGATAATGCACAAAGTAAGATCTGACCACTAGTTAAGTCTCGTACTTCAAGTTTATATTACCTCAGACAAGCAACTACTAGGCCTCTAGTTGAAATAAGGTGGCGAAATAGTTCAATTTGTTACACTCATAAAAATATATTTATTTGAAATTACTTCTATATATAGGTATTAGTATTTTTAAAAATTGTGTTCTATAAAAGAGGATTTTACAAGCTCTTGTCTACTGGTTGCTTCAGCTCAGGTCTTACCTGTGTAAACGTAACAATTAAGTGGTTTCACTACTCAGTAACTGTTTTTTTTTAAAGAATAATACGACTGTAATGAAAGTTAACGTCTACAATAGTACTTTCCACACAAAAATTGCTCATGGGAGTATTTAATTTGAATATCACATAACTTCAACCACTCGTGAATGATTAATGATTATTCACTGAATCTCATCTATAATTCACTTTATGATCTTACGCAATATTAATGGGGAGTAAAGTTTTCCACTAGTGGATCATTTATATTTTCAATGAACTGTATCACCAGACCGATTGTGTTGAATAGTCTGTTTGGTAGTACTTAGGGTAGTGTATGATCCATTAGTTTCCCGGATGCGTTTTAAGTGAAATGTAAAATGGTACGAATTTATGCCACTTGCTTCGCCATATGATGATTTTATGTTTTTGATACTAGAAAAATTAATCAACACCAACACATTCAGAGTGTAAGTAATAGCGTTAATTTGTAACCAGTCAACATATGAATCAAACACTGTTTTACCTAGCATCATAGTCCGTCAAATAAGTTAGGTCAACAGTAAGGACATGACTACAGTATAAATGGTTTTTCTTCCCTCAATAACCCTACAAATTATACAGAAAAATAATTGGGGTGTGGTGTCATATTTCAAACTTTTAATTTATATGAAATCTAGTGTAATCGCTCAAGAATAAAAATTTAAAAAATTAACATACCCTTTTTAAACCTATAACTTAGAATAAACTTCATATTTAAACCGGGTAAGTCGGCTCCCGTTGAATTAAATCTCACCAGTAAGACATTGTGTCGTCCAACTATTGGATAATCATGATGTTGAAAACCTGATCCGATTTTGAGCGATTCTAGTTCATTTGATCGATCACAAAACACATGATCGGGTTCTTTATTAGATTGAAGTATTTCATGAGAATATTCATAGGTTGGTCTGTTAATTTGTTCACCAGGTAATGATCTACTACCATAAATTGCCATGTGTCCACGATCACATCTGTAAACGTAATCACGAAAATAAAGTTGTATATACCATTATGAAGTTATACAATGTGGAATTCAGAGTGTTAATCCTATACGGTAATAATGTTAAATCAAAATTTTGAAGTAGCAATATTTTGTTTCATGGTGATATATAATCTAGAAATGTAAGGCTAGAGATTTTCGTACACTTTGAAAAATGTCTTCACAAATAGCTAAGTTCATTAGAATTTAAAAATATCATCTAGATAAAATATTGTACTTCGACTTACTCTTCAAACAAACCCCTAATAATCTAAGTAGTGGAGTTTTAGACCACTCTAATACGAGTCATTAGTGAAATAAATTTCCCACTTATTTCTGATGGACACTAATATGTGTTAAATATACTGGAGGTATTACTTTCTACTGATTGTCCACAAACGTCCAACATAAATAATGGCTATTTTTAGTTTAATTTCGCTTCGAAGCATAAATTAAATTCATTTTAGGGAGGAAGATTCAATTTCAAATTGCATAAATTAATGTTCAGTAATATCAAATATCTATTTTTTTAAAAGTGAACATGATGGCACTGTAAAACCTAACTAGAAATTCAATATATATCTTATTTTCCGGATAAATTTCTAAAGCATAGAAAAACAAAACTCTGCAAACTGCTGCAAGCATAATGAAAATCTTTGTTGTTGTTTTTTCACCACAGCAATAATTTTTAAATTTAATTAGTTTCTTATTCATCATTCTTGCTTGCTTCTATCAACCTGATGGAGGAAAAACATCTGTAGTTTCCACCCATAGTGTTGCACTATATAGTGGTACAAACTTCTCATCATTGAAGTTATTCAGGATATCATACTTATTTATTACCAGTAGATAATAGCTATGGTAGCTAAATCTTTAGACCATTATTTTGGTAGGGCATTTTGCGGTAAATCCAAATATTTTATCCAACACTTTCCACTGTTTACTCCAGGACTTTCAAAACTTCAAAACATACAAAAAACTTACAGATGAAACAACATATACCACAGAAGCCGAACTGATAGCCAGCATTCTTCTGATAAATTAAAAAAACTGTCTCTATCTGTTCATTATCTGATGGAGTTCTATTTCAAAAGCTGGATGTTATCGAAATAGTATATTTGTATTTCTGAAATTTTCATGTCATTTGAATCATGTGGATTCATGAATATGATTTTTAACTTTATTACTTGTCTTTAGAGGATCCGATTTCTGCAGTTTTCATATTCCAATACAATAACCAACATTTTAGTCACCTAAATCATGTAAGTGATTATTATTTCGATTAAAAGTCAATATGAACGTATTAACCATGGGCTGCTGTAGTGCTTTTACTAGTTTCTGTGACATATAATCAATAGCAACACTAAACTAGGATCTACAACCCTTTTAATTAGCTGAAAATCATATTATATAAGTTCTCGTGGCATTTCATAAATTAATTTATTTAGAACTGAGCTCACTGTTTGAAGTATTAGTGACAAGTAACGACAATTAGTAAGCGTCTTATTCCTTCCTGAACGTTTCAGTAAATTAAATTCCTCCATAACCTACATCAGTCTGTCAATGAGCTCAAACTTACGGATAATATTGACAATGTAAACGAATGAGTCATTCTAAACAAGCTTAAGAGACTGTCTGCTTGCAGATTTTCATTCAAAAATAAATTTTACACAAAATTATAAAAAGACTAGCACAAAATTCTGATTTTTAGTACAAAAACATAATTCAGAAATAAATATTGGACATGTAATCAGCCAGAAGAAAACACAGAATTCGAGACCTGTCCTTGTTATATTTCGTTTAAATTTCGAGTATTGTAATTAAATCAGGTTATGAAAGTTTAGAGGCATTTAAAAGAAACCAGATGTATTTTTGCTTTATACTAGTGGGTAGATAACTAGTAATATGAATCGAAATATTCTTAAGTCAGATAATGTTTTGGATAATTACGTATAATCAAAATATTAAGAAAATCGATTAAAAATAACCTAACTGCTGATTAAGTAGAAAACATTTATATGAGAGAATCGGTCCCAACAGTGAAAACAAAGGAAGCTAGGAAGCAACGATATTAGTGCCAACTCTTATGCCTAAGTCATAACACGCTGTCGAAAATATCAAGTTACATTATGAAGACTGACTAGTGAAGATGAATAATGATGTCAAAATCCATATATCAATTCCGGGCTAGGGTGAAAAAGACTGGTTTTTTTAAATTTTGGTTGATTGACGGTTAGTCAATGAATGTACCGAGTTTCTGAACTCAGACTAAAAGTTGTAAATGCATAGTTCCCATTATTTATTGCAGTCGATACTTGATACTACAAAAATAATATTGATAAAGTATATCCGCCTTCATTGTCCAGTAAAACGTTTGTTGCGAAAAAATTAAAAGAATATAAAAATTAGCAATCAGTAAGGTGGCGGGTTTGGAAAACACACCAGGCGATTTGGGTAACTGTGATTGTCTGAAAATCTATACTGTAACACTATTCAAATGTTTTCTGGATAATTGTCCCATTCTCTACGGGTTGTGCAATGACAGCTAACTGTTCACTAGATTTTAATATTTTTTTATAATACAGGCTGTTGCTAATTCAAAATGTTGATTGAGTAACGTTAGTTAGATGGAATCTTCAAAATAAATACAATAATCAACAACATTGAACCCGTTAGTTTTAATTAGTCTGAAAACGTACTAAAGTTTCTGTATATTATAAGTTGCAGTTTCATGGTCTTTTTAATCTAGAAAAGTTTTCCCGATTTAGTTTAAATTGGTAGGATATAAATATAATTTAATTTAATTAAAGTCGATAAGTATAATGCTCTTACAGATATTACTTAGGTTTACTTCACTCGTACAAAAATATTTAATCAAAAAAGTATTTATTTATAGTAAGTTTCACCAAACTTATTATTACCGATAGTAACATCAGAACAAATCTAATGATGAATGGACAACAATTAAAAAGCCGCTGAAAACCGGATTATTAAATAGTAATTTAATCCAAATTACAACATCAACAAACTAATAACCCTGTCTAAAAGCTTGTCATTTAGTTCGTGAGTTCAAATCCACACTTTCAGCTTGAGCTGATTTGTAATTTATCAAGACCACTACACAATGATATCCCTAAAATGATGGCATTTAGAAAATCTGTCCCTTAAATGGATTTCGCCGAAAGGTGGTATACAAATAATGTAATGGTGATAGGTTTTGGATTGGCAGTTTCGAGTTAACAGACTGATTAGTATATTACGTCATCATAAAATAAGTGTAGTTCAAAGACAGAACATTACACAAGCCTGTATTCGGTTATCAAATTATTTTATTGTGTTAGATGAGTGAAGAAAAAACAAGTCAGCACTTATGGTTCTAGATTTTGCATTTATTAGCAATTGTCGGTAGTATGGATCATTAAAAAGCGAATTTCCAATGCAATCTCACAACACAACCGCTGAAATATCTACGCTATAATTTTTTTAACTAGAAAATTTATGTTATGGAATCAATCAGCCAAGCTAATAGGACTGGTTTATTGTGTTTCATTCACCAACAAAACTAAACTATTTTAATCGGCTGCAAATTTATATGGGTTATGTGTTTTAGATTAAGATCGTGAATCGATCGATGTTAGACTACCATTGAAAATCTGGAAAACTTTACTTTGATCTAATTCACAAATGATTAAATTGATGTTAGATAGTTAGAAGTGATCTTCAAACCTAGATTTTATACAAGATTGCAATGTGAATTATTTTAAGGCTTTTGATACTATTTTTGGGAGTGAAACTTCTATAATTCAGTGCTACCGTAAATTACTCAAGCTAAGACTAGCCTTCTGTAAAAGTGAGAATTTTTCATTAAGCAGTCTCGAAGTTGTGACTAACTTAGTGTTATCTAGTTTGTATTGTGTATTATGTAATACTGATCAGGTTTACGATTTGTTCTGGAAAATTAGGCTATTTGGGCTATTAAAAATATAATAGTTAGAAGAGACAAGTCGCACCATATAAGGCGAAACTGAAAAGCATATTCTATGATGTTTCGATGATGTGACAGGAGTAAAGATTAGGCTAGCAAATCTAGTCGGTTTATTGATCAATGGTACTATTCGATGTAGAAATGGTGCTTTGGATTTCTGAATTATAGCTGTAAGTAATAAATTATTCAATCAGCCAGGATCCAGTAAATACTGACCAAAATATTAATAAATGCTCCCTAAGTTAATTTGAAACATAGAAACACCGTAACAATTAGATTTATTATTAACAGGTCACTTCATTTATTACTTAGTCTTTCATTCTTAGTTTAGTCAAGTAAAGATAGATTGAGACTTTACCACTGTAATCAAACATGAGTGAATTCGGTTTCTTAGTGCAAAATATCTTTAAGAAATTTGCGTTAAGTTTTAGTTATTCATCTTTTTATCCCATTTTCTATCTAAAAATAGTCACATCATCTATGATAAACTGTGCGGCTTCTGGACAGTTTTAGAAACAATTAAAGAAAGCAAAGCATCTTAAAGTTGTAGTGTTAGTCATTAGTTTTAGCTCATAATATATTTTATTCTAGTTTTCGGACATACCATTCTATTCATTCTACTTGAGTAATGTTTTGACCTTGTTAATTATTCGCTTATTAGTCTTGACTGTTTTCACATGAGCGTACATGTGTGTACACTCATGTCCGATGACTCATCACATGTCTGTAGTTCATTGTGTCTGCCTATAAATATTGAGTAATGTTCGGCTTGAATTGGAGTTGGCTTCCCAGCCATCTTCCATACAATCTGAAATGGATTCGAGAACCACGGGCCACTAAAGTGGTAAGCCCGCCGACGACGAACGCAACGCAGCAAACTACGTCGATGAAGAGATTTCTGCACTTGATACATTCGACGAACGCACTCAACGGGTCCAGCTCAATCTCTAATCCGACGCACTCAGCAAAGCCTGTGCAACACGACATGGACATGCACAAATCTTATTATTTTATTGTTACTTTGTCCTCATGTCAATTACCTTCATTGATACATTTGTCGGATTGTTCCATTACGATTCAAATGATCATTGTATGCTTATTATTACATTATTGCCAATATCATGATCGAATGTGGAATTATTAATCTTGTTCGTGCTGTCATTAAATCATGACATTTTCGCAATCATATTACTCACCGAACAAATTATCATTTTATGAAAATTCCACTTAACTTTGTGAGAACTTATTGGGATATTTTTACTATTCGAAAACGTGAAATTTTCCTGCTTTAAGTGAGTTCGTTCCAATTTTTCATGTCATTTTGAACTAATATTGCATTCATTCACTTAGTCGAGGTCAGCAATTTATATTATCACAACATACATTTTTTCATTTCGAAATCGCCTCCTATTATGTCTGTGGATGCTTCTGACTAGATGACTAGTAACCATTACGTTCATTTTATCTATTCTTCCACGTGCATAACTACATGCTGCATCACTTATCACTCAAAAACGCTATTCGAGTACTGCAACTACTATTCTATACCCATCGCATAGTATATCAGAACATAGAGTTTAGAGCTAGTCTCTCAAAGATACACTCTTGTTCGTTACATCCAAGTCAGTCTCATACGTCGCAATCGCTAATCATATGTATTGGTATTTTTGTCATGCCTTGGTACGGTTTTGTAACAAACGAGATCGAGTGCATCTCCCTCAAACCACACAAACCACTCTAGGCTTCATGACCAAAAAGGAATACGACTCTATGTACCTCGTCTATTCAGTCACTATTCTGTTCCTCTGGTCATTCTACTAATACATATTTAACGATAACTCAATGCATCTGTCATAACGCAGACGACAACGTTCACTGACTTCAGATTTTATGATTATTATCAATTGCAGTACAGCAACGAATATCACCCGTCGATGCAGTTATCATTTCACGACTTGCCTATTATCATCCTACGAACGGGAACTACGCATTTGAATTCGAATTCACTCATCACTAGTCGATGCTATTTATTCTACTGCGGCTCAACAGAACATATATTTCGCATATTTCACTATTCTGTCGGCATCACAGACCAATTTCTGTCATATTCTACTTTACTTATTTTCACGATTTATTTCGCTATCATACTCACAAACAATTTATTATTATTTTCACGATATTTTGAATCGTTCATACAAACGTGTTATTTTATTGTTCAGACAGTCATAGCATTAGTACATGTTAATTTTTTGTACGCTCATCAATTTGCTCATATTCGCATGCTAACGTTTCCTTTTTTGTTCGCGTCTTTTCTATTTTCATGTATTCTTTTGCATAAGTATGACATTTTCATATAATACGCTCACCCCTCATGTGACACTGTACTTTATCGAGTGTTGTACAATTTTTTTGGCTACTTATTGTTAACATTAACTACGCATCACTTCACTGTTATTTTCGAAAACAGACATTTTTTAAATGTGCCATTTTCTACGAGGGGGCTATGTAGTGTTAGTCATTAGTTTTAGCTCATAATATATTTTATTCTAGTTTTCGGACATACCATTCTATTCATTCTACTTGAGTAATGTTTTGACCTTGTTAATTATTCGCTTATTAGTCTTGACTGTTTTCACATGAGCGTACATGTGTGTACACTCATGTCCGATGACTCATCACATGTCTGTAGTTCATTGTGTCTGCCTATAAATATTGAGTAATGTTCGGCTTGAATTGGAGTTGGCTTTCCAGCCATCTTCCATACAATCTGAAATGGATTCGAGAACCACGGGCCACTAAAGTGGTGAGCCCTCCAACGAGTATCGTCGATCTAAATGGGGACAAAATCAAACAACGGGCCACTAAAAAGTAAAATATTTACAGATGAAGGGTAGACAAGGTGTAAGAAAGTGAACTTATTGAGTTCGTTCTACACTTTTACGATTTTTGGTACATTTGTTTTTGGTACGAGGATTTAAATTTAAGGCCTACAATACAAATTGACTCAATTATTGGTAGAGTTGTTTTATATTTTCTAGCAATACACATTAAGTGTCAAATGTCGTCACTGTAAACATTATTCTGGCCTCTTTAAGGGTCATTGTCTAACGTCACAAAAAAAGACCCAATTTAACAACCTATACCTTTGAACTGATCATAATCTGTGAAGTTTTTAAATTACATGGTAGACTTTTCTATAATTAGTGTGAGGTATAAATTATGAATAAAATGATCACTTTCGCAAAGTTTACAGATTACCATGCAACTTAAAAGTGAGTTCAAATCGTTGCATCAAAATCAGTATGATAATGGCATATTTATAGGCGCAAAATATAGAGATTAAGGACCAAATTCGGTAGTTTTTACGATGGAAATTCATCAGCATTTTATACAATCATACAGATTGAACTTCCAATGGTCGAAACATGTTAGCTACTTGTGTATTCGCATTATTGTAATTTCAGTCTTACAGAATTATATTTTTATTTATAAAAGAAAGGTGAATATCAACAGTTTCATATTGTAATAAAAAAATCTATGGCGAGACTATAATTTATGGACGAACCGATGAGATTTGGGATTACAGGTCTTAGATTTTGGCGCGAAATCTATTCATCCACTTAGCTAAATAGAATTTTGGCTTTATAAGTGATGTCAGTTCGTGATGAAGCTCCTAAATATAATTCCTAACCATAATCATCAACTGTAAATCATAATTCGAATTCCTCAAACAGGTTTATAACCCTTATTTAGTTCCAGTTATTAGGTGGACACTCTCAAGGTCAGTCTAGAGTCGCTCAAAGGTCGTCCATAAATTATAGTCTCACCAAATCTATCATAATATCAATAAAAAGTAATTACAATTACCACATAAAAAATATTGATCATACAAAAATATGAATACAATCGCCTACATTTGACTTCCTTCACTTGACTTAGGTAATTCGATTCGTTCAAATCCAATTGATACGCTTTCGATGTATTGTTCAAATCGTTCTCCGATAAATATGAAATTGCATACTCTATCTGGAGTTAATACGAAATTATTGCGCATTGTGGGTGATTCAAACTGTTTTTCAATGGAACCTTGACTTTTTATCACATAATCACATTCTGAAAAAATTAATTTTTAACATTAAAATGAAATTCGGTAAGGTGTCGAAATTGACATTTCGGAAAATTTAAAATACACCTTTAAGTTGAACACCGAAAGCTTATTTGAAAAAAAGCTTATACATGAGAAGTACGAACAAATTATGATGGATTAATATTTTATTTCATATTATAATCTAACTTGTTGGCTTGAATCTGAATAAGAATCGGCAACAATATTTTTCAGTTCTAGTGACACATTTAACGGTAGAACTACCAGAAGCAGTTTCGACGTTATTACAAATTGATAGCGAGTAATCTAAACTGGACCATGAAACTAGTGAGGTACGTATATCTACGCTTTATCAAAACCAGCTCTAAATATTAATTATTTCAGTAGCCTAATTTTGTTTCAACTAACCTATCTTACCATATTGTTGGCCTATTTACATTTTATTACTAACTGAAAATCTGGATTTGTTCACTGATACAGTTTGACTAGGTTGGACGTGATACATTATATCGGGTGATTAAACTTACACATAAGAATTATTATCGTTTAGTAAATGTATTGTTATTCACAAGGTTTGATTCTCAGTTTACCTGTTCCACGGACGTGCTCGCCTCCAGGTGCTTCACTGACAGGCAATAACCTTTTGGTAAATGTATAACGTAATCGAAAACCTCGACGTCTTGTACTCAATGCATTCATTACTACATTATCTCTTTTATTATTTACATAGTTTAGCAACTGAATTTGACCAGTAACGAATAGTATCACTAAACTTGCTCCCGTAGATACGATATGAATATTATTCGAATTATCACATATTCGTTGACCGATAGAATTTCGACTTATACTGGTATTGTCTATTTGAAAACCATCATAGAATTGGATAAAATCTTTTGGACATCTGAAACACAAAACAACGAAATGATTGATATAATAAATAAACTAAAGATCATTAATATAAATAAGTTAAATCAGAGCTGTTAGAGAACCACTGAAATCTAAAAAATCAACTTTCACATTATATTCACGATCATTTGATAATAGTCTATTAGTCAGTTCGGTTAAAATAAGCAGGAGAAGCCTGTAAACCCTACGGGAAAAAAGAGCTTTTTCGAAGATTGCACGACAAGATTGCTGAAGAAACTAAAGCAAACGGACACGTTGGCGGTTTATTGTGTTGCAGGGACTTCTATTTGTGTAGTGCAGACGGCTATGTTAACAGTTTATACTTTCCAATCACATCCAGAAATCTTGTGACAACCGAAAAAACATCCAATGAAACACCCCTTTCTGTAGTCTTATAGGGGCCATTATAGACGTTTTAGGTATTTACCTATCATATAGTTGAAGAACATATGGAATTCAAAACAACTGTCAACCAACATCAAAGTCAGAATTTCCATTACGAACGTCAAGACAGTTCTATTGGACGGAGCTGAAACTTGGAGAACTCCCACAACCATCATCAAAAATGTACAAAGATTTATAAACAGATGTTCACGTAAGATACTGAATGTCCGTTGACCGAATACTATCAGCAACAGCGTACTATGGGAGGGGATAAACCATATTCCAGCTGAGGAGGAAATCAGGAAAAGACGTTGGAGGTGGATAGGACATATATTATGGAAATCACCGAACTGCATCATGAGGCAAGCGCTAACTTGAAATCCTGAGGAGAAACAGAAACGAAGAAAGCCGAAGAACACACTGTGTCGGGAGTTGGAAGCAGACATGAAAAGGATGAATAGCAACTGGCAAGAAATGGAAAGGATTGCTCACGACAGAGCTGGATGGAGAATACTGGTGGACGGTCTATACTCTTTCGCGTTGGGTAACATGCATAAGTAGTTAAGTAAACAATCTATCTAACTTAGCGAGCAATAAAGGGAATACACCTAAAAAACAGTATTTTGCCGTTCAGTAGAGATAAAATTTTGAAATAAAAAAGAATTTTAGAGTTAGAATGAAGAAGAAAGTCAAACTTTCTAAACCTTCTCTATTGGTTTAATTAATTTTTAAAATATTATTTGAGAAAAAGTTAAAACCAACAAAGCAACTTTCATTGACAGATAGTTAGCCATTATCTTGATCATGAAAAAAGAATAGCTTTACTCAAAAGACATTAAATAAAATGTCACCAATGTTGAAAAGAGAGATAAGTGAGAAATTACCGGTTTCACAATTCAGATAGATAGTCTGTGTTCCAGTCTCAGTATATAGTCTTTTCTGATGTAAGTATTTTGATCAAGAAACTAAGGGTATTGGTGTCAAATATCCATGTAATCGTTACAGGAATTGTTGGCATAAGTCCAACCAGTGGCTCATTCATATACTACTTAAATGAATAGTAATACGATGCTTACTTGTAACTCGCTAGAAAATACCTCTTCTGTAATTTGGGCAAGAAGTTGTGGTATATTAAGTTTATTAAGTCAGGAAGGAGATTGAATATTTGCAAGCAACATTGCGTTATGTTCACGCCATATCAAAAAAATAACTGAAAGAGGTTTTACGTATTCCACTGACTAGTATTGTATCTTTCTAAGCGCGATTTCGCGAAGTATTCTTATTTCAACTAAATGTTATAAAATACTTGGTTCGTAATAATTTAACTCTCACCCCAGGTTCAGTTTTACTCTATATGAATTATGTATTTCACTTGCTGGACGTAACATGTTTGGCTACTTTCGCGTCCATCGATATTCAATATTTGTTGACTACAGAAAAGGCACTTTTGGACATATACGTTTATAATTACATCACTAAAATAATTAGTACACGGGAACTTTGCTTCCTTGTTTTCAGTTGCTGTCTAAATAAGATTAGTCCTTGATATGAACTAGCAAAATAACTGACTGTATGTTGGATAATATCAAGCTTGCAAAAACTGAGGTGTACAGGAAAGCAATTTGAATACTTCTTATCTTATGATTTGTTAGTCAGATAAGTAGATGGAACCCTTTGAGTTACTAGGAGTTTGGTGGAGTTCGTCATACTCTTATTAAAACACACAATGATTTTCATTCTTTTAATACTACTCAGGACTATAAAGCTTTTCAGTTCGATGAATATTTTATTTAAATTTTAAGTAATTTTCGAAATGGTACTGATTAGATCCTCAAGGAGAAAATCATGAAGTTGAGATACCATGATGAAACTCAAGCTGAGTTCAAAAGTGAAAGATTTAGTATAATAATTAATCTCCATGACCTGGCTAACACTACGATCCCAATACTACTTGAATTCTGTGAATTCACATGATTAGCTTGATAATGAAATATCAAATAGGTTTCTATTGATTCACTACGTTCACTGGAGTCCGATAAGCACTGAAGGTTAAGTATAATGATATTCTTTTCTATACACAAAACGATTTTAAAATCTCTTCCCTCACATTACATAAGTGATCACTAGAAATAATGAAATAATAATGAATAAGTTGATAGGGATAAAATGGCCATAAATATTCTCTTGTTTACTGACAAGAAAATAATCTCATAAAAGCTACATATTACAGGCTTTACATTTATTTACCACTCAGCATCTAACGTCATAATTAAACTGAATTATTATTGTTATCTAGAAGTTTTGTATGATGATATATTGCACAATTGGATGAATATAGTATTTTTAATCTATGTTGTAGCAGTGCTGCCATTTGTTTGCTCAAAATGATTTTCTACTATAGAAAAAAAATGAATAAATTAAATTAACATTTAGGAAATCAAATCCACTGTTCTATTTCTATTTTATTTCTAAATTACTCAGGTGGAAAACTGTTATCATTATGAATGTTGCTTCCACTATATGGATGTGTTTAACTCATGTGTCAATGAGACAGCAGAGGAAACAAGCAAAAGACTAAGGCATAGTTTATCAGTATTCTAAAGAAAAAAACCTCAGTAAATTAAGAATTTTATTCAATTTTAATACTGTTTTGATCTTCGGGGTATATTAGTCCCAAAAAGACAGATGAATAGTTTTTTGGTTGCACTCTGAGAGATACTGTTAGTTACATTTTCCAGGACTGGTCAAACTGTCAATTCATGTCATGAATTGATTGATACAAACACTGTTGATAATTTAAATTATGTAAAATTATTTGAGTTGGGAGATGTTGCCAAAAAGAACTGATAATTTCGTGTTATTGAGGAGTGTCTGTCAAAATAGAAGAATTTTTACTAACCCTTAAAATTTAGTGATAAAAATCAAATGTCTCATCTACAACAATAACTAGATGATACAACATGAGGTAGTTCAAACATCTCATTTCTTGTACCTTAATTTAAAATGAATGCTGCATAAATTGGCTTGAATATGCAAATGTCTTTTCAAACAACACTGAACCTAATAAATGAATAAATTTGTAATGTGTAAACACCTTATTGGTGTTGTAAACAAGTGGAAGAAACGATCTGTCTGAAAAACAGATAGACCATGTTTTAATTCCGTGATCGTTTTTGTATAAGATAATGAAGAAATAGAAAACTAGGAAAAGAATTAGGCAACAAAATCAATTAATCAAATAATGTCACATTCAGATTGCTAGAGTTTTTATTATAATTTAGATAAAATGTGACTTGCAGTTCAGAAAACTGATAGGCTTGAAATCGATTATGCATCTGTTCTATACAGTTCGTGAGTATTCAGATAAATAAGGACTTTAAAGCACCTGTTCTATCGTTTCTGATTAGTTTAGCAAACTATCGCCTTTAATTCGTATATATAGCTAATGATTAACTTATACATGTAAGCAATAGGGATTTTGACATGTATAAACAAAGATGCAGTACATTTAGGTACAATATTAAAGCCTGTGGCTAAGCAAACAGTTAGTAATTTATTCAACCACATTAAAATATATTTGAATAAAATTTACATACATTCATTTCACCATATTTGAACAATTTGGCAATAACTAGTTAATTCTTAGATGTGTCCACTGGGATTAGAGAGCAGTAGACAAGAGAAATTCAATCCAAGTGTTTGACTATATGGTAGAGGTGACAGCACAATGCAAGCAACCAGTAAAAGAAGCCTGATATTATCAATAAATATAGAATAATGGGAAACATAGTTTAAATAACCCTGTCTTTGTATTATTGCCTTTGAAGATTCTTATAATGTTTGTACTATAATGTGAAATATTCTTAGGAAACGAAATCTGCTTAAACTATATACATACATAGATACTAGTTGATCACTGATATAGATGTAGGTTTGTTAAACTATGGAGTAGTAAGTGCAGTCAACGAACAGTTGGTCCTTAGGAGCATTTTTGTAAAACTTTCCCTACGAATTTGAAAAGACATGATTTTCATTGTCATGTGGATGCTTGCTGTTTTTTGTGTTTATTTATACAGTGTTACAAACATACTAGGAGTGAATTCAAGAGAGCCATATGTGTCTCGTATGTTGGTAACTGCTTACTGATTAACTTACAAGCAATGTCATAATCCATGTAATCAGTTTTTTACTTGTAACAAAATCTCTACGCATATGATACATTCAATCTGTTGATAGACATTACCTTACTAGTCTTCTGCTGAATTCTTTATAACTCATTGAAATAATGGGATACTCCAGGAGCATTCAGCATAATAGGAAGTACTTAGTTCACACAAATTTCTGAAGCTATACTATAATAATCATCAACCAAATAAAAAAACATGCAGTTGGAAATTATGAACAGTCATAAATTAACCGTCAGTTAGGCGGTTCACTATATTGATCAGAAAAATTTTAAATCCAAGAATCTTTATTTGTTTACGACAATATAGCAGTATAGCTGAACAGACTTGACTCAGAAACGAAATCCTTTAGGCCATCTAGATGTGACCATCTGACTTCAACAGTCAACTGATCCATCTCTCCACCTTCAGAAATTGATGAAGTAAGTATAAGTGGCCAGGACCTTATCAGCTTACTGTGACGAAATTAAACAGTTTTACAAATAAATGTTGAAAAGCTGTTTGCAGAATTCGCTAATTAAACTGAATACATAAACTGACAATCAACTTCATTTACCCGTATCTTGCAAATGTAAACTGAATACGTTTGAATGCTGAACTTTAACTCACTTCATCGGTTTTTTGAAGGTAAGTATAATTTAACATTAGAGAAGAATAATGGGATAGTACTGAAATACTGTCAAGTCACTGATAAAATTATTTATAAATTACAAGATATAAATACTGAAAAGAGAAGCTGACAAATCAAAATTAAGTAAAACTGCAAAAGCAAGTGGTCAAGTGCATGATTTGTAATTAATCACGTATGGTTATAAATGCTAGGTGCTTACCTTGATTTATATGTAAATTACATGACTTACAAAACAAAACATTTAACATATAACAATTTCCAGTTTAGGGCTTGTGGCGATTGTTAAGTTTTTGACTGAGATCATGAACCGACTGATGTTTACTTATTTACGCTGTGTTTTCCTAAGCTGACTATTTTATCAATAAATTTTCAGCAGTGATGAAATGTATAAATGTTTAATTCAGTTGGTAGATAGAACTATAATACTGTGTCGATAAGTCCCCACACCTGGATTTCATGGTGTTTACACCATAGATTTAAAAAATGGACAACACATAATGCTAGTATGCAATCGAATGATACATTACTTACCCTGGTGATCCTGAGTATAAGTCTATGTCCAAAATATCCAAACTAATTCGCTGATATGGAAGCCCAATTAACTGATATACACAGAGAAGATTGTTAGGTTGGTAACCTGGGTAGGTAGGTGAAATTAATTCACCAGATATTTCATCTAATTTAGTCATATCTCCATTTATGTTAGGTTTAGCAATATGATCTGCTTCAATACGAAAACGACAGTTACTACTAGTTATGGTGGAAGCAGCAGTAGCATTGCCAGTACTAGTAGTAATGTCATCTTCAAATGGTATATACAATTCAGAGGAAGAAACAGCCTTACCAGGATAGAATGCATCTACAAACACAAACATGTAGGAAAAAACAACGATAAAACAAAACGAATATTTTATGTCTTTTTAAAACAGTTTGTTTAAAAGCGAAGACTATTCAAGCTTACAATTGTTTTTATCTAACCATCGGGTAAACCTACCAAGATATTTAGAGACAATTCTAAAACTTTATTAATGAACTTCTATTCCTTGTAGTTCTTTTGAAAAGTCGTATTCAGGATGTTTTTTGTCTTACAAATAATACCATTTATGTCATAATAGACATATTCAACTCCAAGCAGAATTTTACCACCTGCTGTTTTTTAATCGTTGTACTATTATAATAGTATCACATGCTTCTGGAAAGCTTTTCATTCAGATTATCACATGGAAATACTGTAGTTTCTTTCTGCTCTGAGTAATTATAATAATGCTAATAATTTCAAATAGCATACATTGTTGCCATTGTTACATTTAATTTTCCAGCACCAGCTGCTGTTGCTATCAGTGTTCAAGTATCTGGAGATAAAGATTAAACCTACGTTTTAAATGTTTGGCTGAATAAAGTGTATTATGATACTTCGTAAAATTCAGTAAGTAAATAAACCAGTTTTATTTAATCTAAATTTAAAGTACTTATGTTATTCTTTTCATAGTTAAATAGTAAATAGTATATTCATGTATAGTATATCAAAACACACAGAACAGCTGTTTCGTTTAAGCATGGAACTTCTTATTAGTATACACCATTAGCCAAAACGGGACCAAAACCTTTAGATTGTGTTACAGCATAAAACCAATGAATCGAATTTCAGTGATTCCCATTTTCAACTCCAGTCACATGTGGTGACATAATGCATGTCTCATCTAATATAATTGGAAGGAAGGGGTAATTCTCAATTCTCAACATTCTTGAGTAACGAGTGAAATGACTCCATAATATAACTCTACTGAGTTAAATATTATATAAAACTTACTGGTTTGGTGACAACCTAAAGATGGTCACTTATGGTTCTACCACTGATGAATCAACAGTCAAATGCATAGAAAACGATTACGGATCAAGTTAGTTATGCTACCATGTGCGAAAAAAACTAGCAATGAAAACGCTTACAAGTGAAAGGTCTATCATTTTTACCTTGAGTGAAATACTTTTTTCAGAAGATCAGTGATGTAATCTGGTGAAGGCAAGATATTTTTAAAATACATTTTATTCATTTGAAATCTTTTGTTGATATTTATTTCACTGTCTATAATGACTAAGAAGATTTTCATGTTCACGCTTCTTTCGAACGTGACACGTTTTAGAACAAAGATCACGAATTCAAGCTGTTATAAACAAGTTATTTGGTCAATGAAAGTTCAGTCGTTAATGACTTTCAGGTTGAGTTTTTCAACCCTCGTAATAAGTTATCTATAGAATGGTTTAAAGCCTGAGGAGAAATCTATTTAATATATAGTTAAATATTCTACTCTTGGTGCAATCATATTTTTCTAAAGGCTTTATTCAAGTAAACTATTCTAAAGATACTTTAGAAAATCAATCGAACAGTTAAAAACTGAAATTTAGAAGCAAGGTCGATCATTCGAACGATTCATGGCGTTTTATGCATATCATGGTACAATTACTTAAGTATGATATTAAGGCTTTCGTAGCTAACCACGAATATGGATAAACCATGAATAAGTGAGAAAATAATTCAAGTAAATGATTGTATTTTATTAAATATGACAATAATTTTTTATGTATTACATAAAATAAAGCATAACGCTAATAGCAAGTTATATTTCCAGTGTTTGCTAGGTACCAGTAATTAATGACTGAAAAGGTAAGTTAAGAAATATTGAACAAAGATATACGGGTGTATATGTTATGCTGTTTTCTGAGAAATAATAAACCAGGTTTCACTATTTTTTTGACAGTTGAGTCTCAAATAAACTGTAGAAAATTGGTTATTGTCTTGGAGGAAATAAAATATCATTAACTATGAGACTGGTGATAAATTGGAAAAAATTTGTTTTATTTAAAGGAGCCTGTCTTCCAATAGTTAATCAGAAAACTTTGGCCAAGAATTTTTGTTTCAGCTAATTCTGTTTAATCTGTTTTCAAAACTATTAGAAAAATGTATTTCCTGTCTAAAAAGAATATTTACTCAACCACAACTGAAAGCAAAAGACATAATGTTTTTAACTTGCTTATACTTAATTTGCTACGAAAGTATGTATAAACGAGAATACTGTGTATGTTATTCAAGAGTCACTAAACAAGGCAACTGAACAAATACTTTTTTATGGAATAAATATAATGCGACTAGCAGTAAAATCCAGGACGCATGTTTCGTCCTGTTTAAGACTTCCTACCTGGGTATACCTACATCCCAGAGGTGATTTACCCTCCAGGACTCGAACTCAAAACGAAATGCTCGTCCCAAATTCTACTGCTCGTCATTTCCCATCTATCCTACGTTAACTTGTGTCATAATGACCAAATTGAGTAGTCTGTACAGGACGTATATATGCCCATCAAGACTGATAAAATGTCAGTTAAAATATCAAGCTACTTCCGTGATATTTTAATGAATTCCTTGAGAAATTTGATTTGAATATACCTCTGTTTTTTAATTGCTTTTTAATTCAATTATTCTACAACTTACTTATTTACCCTGGTCAGACTGAATTCTATGGTTCTATTTATTTTTTGAATACAGTAAAAAGACTAAAATTATTTAAGACTATTGAAAATTGTTTGTTTTTACGTTGTTGTTTGGCCATTTATATCGATTGGTCGTGAGGGATGAGTGAAGTGATTAATAAGTAAGGTACATTTTTAACCTTTATTGTTAGTGTTTCTAAAACTAAACCAATTAAAATAAAGAATGATTATAATCTCTGAGTTACTAAGGGAATAACTGAGATTTGATAAGGATAGATAGACGTATGAGTAGAATGTACGTCTCTACAATAAAATACTTTAATATCACAAAGCAAACTAGAAAGCTTAAATTACAAGTTTTATATTAGATTCACTTACACTGATTCAGAATCACATATATATGTGTTTTAATGAAAGCAGACATTTGATCAAACAAGATATTCATACAAACTGTGAGTGTTTTTAATTTATATACTAATATGTATCGTCTAACTCCGCCTGGAGTCCCTCCGGGGGTTACTGCCGGTCCCAAGTCCGGATAAAGAAGGAGGGTTGGGCATGGGGTTAGCGTCCCCATCCCGTAGAAAACTAACTCGCTAAAAAAACGCTAACCAGAAAAAAATTATTAAAACCTTTTAAACTCTGCCCTGGGAGTCAGAAGGTCTTCATTTAGAAGAATTATGACGCTTCATGATGAAAGCCGAATTCCTTCGGAAGTTACGAGGCCGATACCCTTTCTGACAACCAGAGCGACCATTTATTTAGGTACATGGAATGTTCGTACAATGTGGGACACCGGGAGAGCCTTCCAAATTGCTGCAGAAATGAGAAGATACAACCTAGAGGTACTTGGGATCAGTGAAACACATTGGACACAAGTTGGACAACAACGACTAACTACAGGAGAGCTCCTGTTATACTCCGGCCATGAAGAAGAAAGTGCACCACATAACAAGGAGTTGCATTGATGCTGTCTAAACAAGCGCAAAATGCGCTTATAGGATGGGAGTATCATGGACCAAGGATCATCAAAGCCACGTTTAAAACAAAGAAAGAGGACATTTCAATGAACATCATCCAATGCTATGCGCCTACCAACGACTACAATGAAGACGCTAAAGATCAATTCTACAATAAGTTGCAGTCAATCGTCAAGAAGTGCCCAACAAAGGACCTGACCATTCTGATGGGAGATTTCAACGCCAAGGTTGGAACGGACAACACTGGATATGAAGACATCATGGGACGACACGGACTGGGAGAAAGAAACGAAAATGGTGAGAGATTTGCAAATCTATGTGCCTTCAATAAGCTGGTCATAGGCGGCACCGTATTCCCACATAAACGCATACACAAAGCCACATGGACTTCACCGGATCACTCTACACAAAACCAAATCGACCATATTTGCATCAACAAAACGTTCAGGAGGACTATAGAGGACGTAAGAACCAAAAGAGGAGCTGATATAGCATCAGATCATCACTTGCTGGTCTCCAAGATTAGATTGAAACTCAAGAAGCACTGGATAACGGGGCGGACAACAACACAAAAGTTCAATACGGCCTTTCTTCAGGATACTAACAAACTCAACAAATTCAAGATAGTCCTCAGCAACAAGTTCCAGGCGTTTCATGATCTACTCAATGGAGAAGGAACTACTATGGAGAGCAACTGGAAGGGGATCAAAGAGGCAATCACTTCAACATGTCATGAGGTCCTGGGTGACAAGAAGCACCATCACAAGGAATGGATCACTGTTGATACACTGGATAAGATTCAAGAAAGAAGAAACAAGAAGGCAGCAATCAATACCATTCGAACAAGAGCAGAAAAGTCAAGGCACAGAAGTAAACAAACAAGTGAAGAGGAGCATCAGAACCGACAAACGTAAATATGTAGAGGATTTGGCAATGACGGCGGAAAAGGCTGCAAGTGAAGGAAACATGAGACAACTGTATGACACGACAAAGAAACTCTCTGGAAATCGTTGCAAATCAGAACGACCAGTGAAAAGCAAGGAAGGCGAGGTAATCATCAACACTGAAGAGCAACAAAACAGGTGGGTAGAACACTTCGAAGAACTCTTGAATCGACCAGCCCTACTGAACCCACCCAACATCGAAGCAGCACCCACGGACCTCCCAATCAATGTTGGCCCACCAACAATTGAAGAAATCAGCATGGCCATCAGACAAATCAAGAGTGGCAAAGCAGCAGGACCGGACAACATTCCAGCAGAGGCACTAAAAGCAGACGTAGCGGCAACTGCAAGGATACTCCACATTCTCTTCAATAAGATTTGAGATGAGGAACAAGTACCAGCAGACTGGAAAGAAGGCCTCCTGATCAAAATACCGAAGAAAGGCGATC